GTTTCAGTCAACACAGTAGGGTCTGAAAATACTTACACAAAGCAGAAAACACACAGTTCTGAGAGGATGGGCACATGGGTGCTATGTTACAGTTGAGAAATTAGGAACACTCATATTTAAGGATCCATAAAACAATCCAGGCCACAAAGACAATGTCAAATAAAGTTGACATTTCTAAGTTGGATTGTAGTGAACAAAACTTTTGTCAATAGAACTGCAAACATCAGAATTATTGCTTGTGCATCTTCACTAATGCATTACAGATGAAAGACAAAGGATTAAGTTTGTGCACAGAGTAAACTTCCTCTTGAGTTAGTGAAGAATGAGAAGTTCAAATAGACAGCATGACAACTTTGAGATCTTTAATATTTGCGCTGCCTCTGCTTGTGATGTACAATATCTATTTCCTGGATAAACAGAGAAGTTAAGTCCCCAGAGCCTGAATTCAGTTCCTTTCATAAGCCCTAACTTCATTTTTAAAAGTGATAAAAGAAAATGTAATTTGCTTTCCAGTTTTACCAGTAATCCGTACATGTTCATACTGCAGATTGCAGAAACATCTGTGAGATCAATAATAAGCATCCTACCCATGCTTCATTTTTCTGCTTTATTTAAAGAGAACATTCTCCAGCATTCACTCTACTCCACACTTTTTGCAGTTTGAATAATGGAATATAGATAACAGAAATAGAAAAATGCACTGCCAATGAAAAAATGTATGTTCTTTAAACACAGACAAAAGCCCTTCTGAGACAAAATCAAGCAGGCTAATTTACCTATTTCTGAATAAAATAGTATAGCTATAGCAACAAGACTTCAAATTCTCAAATGTGAAAAACATCAGAACTACATTTGTCGGTGTGCCTCTCCTCAGCACTCCTCCTTGTCAATGGCCCCAAGCCCTTCATTCCCATTACAGGTTACTTAGCCAGCCTCAATTAGTGTCATGATTTGAACTTTCCTCCTACCTGCTGGCCTCCACTGAGACATCCAGGTTCTTCAGGACTGGGTTTAAATCTTGCCACCTATATATTTTAACTTGCTGCCAAGCATCGCAAAGGTGAGAGCGAGCTTTGCTGTTACTGCTCTATTTCCCACCTGGAGAAAAAAAAAAATAAAAAAAAAAAAATAGATAAGTAATCACTTTGCTAACATCCATAATAATAAAGTTTATTACAGATGACATGTTTAGAAAACTTACTTAAAGGAAGCTAAAAAAAGTGCAAGCTTATATTTATTTTCTTCTTTCACAGAGACAACAAAAGTGTCATCATTTGGCAAGTGGGAAATAATCCGGATGAAAAAAAAAAAAAACCTAAATCAAAAAGCACTGGTTTGGCAAGCATTTTGCAGAGTATTTCCATTTTATAGTGCCATGTAATTAATAAGTTTATGTATCAAGGGCTGATCCGGAAGTAATGCCTCCCTTTTTATTTTCTTGGCCCATGACATCAGAGGCAGATGGTGGTGGTATGGCAGTAGAGGCTGAACCTTCCCACCAGTCCACGTTGTTGCTGTGTGACAGATGGCAGCAGAGGGGCAGTCTGACAAAATGGCGTCTGATATGGAAGTGCATACAAAGCAAAGGTGTGTCACTGAATTCCTCCATGTGGAAAAAGTGACACCCATTGACACTCATTGATGTTTGCTGAATGTTGATGGAGAACAAAGAGTGGAGGTGAGCACAGTGAGGTGGTGGGTGGTGCATTTCAGCAGTGGAAATAGCAACAGTGGGTCTCCTCCACTGGTGCAGGTTATTACCAACATGGCACGCAGGCTCTTGTTCACGGTGGGTGAAAATGCAGTGCTGGTGATGGTGGCTATGTTTAAAAGTAGTGTTTTATAGCTGAGAATCCACTCTATCAAATGGTGTTACTGTGGTCTTTGCATCTGTGCAGATTCCATGCAGATAAACAGGAGGCATTACTATTGGAACAACCCCCACGTTTGAAGTAACACCTAACTACTGCATAGCCCTTAGCTATCTTCCCTTTCTAAGCTTTCTACCTGATTCTTGCGTTCTCTGTGCTGCTATATTTCCTATGCACTTTGCTGTCACTGCTCTCATTCGCCTTTTGCAAGTCGTTATTAAACATTTTTATTGTTCTCTCCCCGCGGTCTCCCAGGGAAAGGGCAGAGCAGAAACTCTTGACGGCTGCAGCTACTTTGGTTTCCACGCTCCACTTTCACACACAGCCTCCTCCCAGCGCCACTTGACCACTCCATTTAAAACTCGCTTTCACACGTAAGAGCCGCCGGCAGCGACGGAACTCCCGCCTTTCGCACCGCTCCGAACGGGCAGAGCGCCGCCGCCTCAGGATGAGCAGCACAGCGCCGAGCGCGCGGCTCTGTGCGATCGGTGCTCGCGCCGTGCCCTGGCGCCACCGCCACTTCCGGTGTGCGCGGGGCGCTACGGGAGGGGGCGAGTGGGATAGCGGTGGTGCTTCCGGTCCAGCCGGCCTCCTCCCTTTCCACGCAGGTACGCGGTGCGAGTGAGCGGGGCTGAGTGCGACGGTGAGGAGCTTGGGTGTCGCGGAGCGAGCCGGGAGCGCGGGAAGAAGGGGGCGGTGTTGGTCCTGTCAGCAGTGAGAATCTCCGTGGCGCGAGGGCCGGCCTGTCGCTGCTCGGGAGCTCCGCTCGTGGCCCCGCCTGGAGACGGTGCGCGGGTAGGGACGCTGCTCTGTGAGGGTCGTGTTGGCCCCGGTCTTGTTAGAAGAGTACTGAGATGCCAGTTTCTGCCGAACTCGTGTTTCTTCCGTGAGTGTTACAAGTCAGGAGCTTTTCAGAAGCCGAAGAAACGTTGCCTTTCCAGTTGCGCCTTTATTTCCTCTTTTTCGTGCTGTAATCGCTCAACGTTACTTGTGTGAAGTGTTGAAATCCTACACTGAATGGGGCATTTTTTTCCCAGAAGATTACGAATAGAAGGCATCGTTGCTTTAAAGTGGGTATTATTTACATTCCTACACTGACGAAGAAAAAGATAGGGGAACATGCTGTTTTACACACGTCAAATCCGTTCCTTGAGGGAATTTTTCCAGAGAAGATTAGTAGTGCTTTTGATACATAGAAAAATAACAGTTGAAAAGTCACACTAGACTTCAGGAGAATTTCAGTACTGTTGCTAATGAGATTGCTCCATGGAGAATGTTTCAAACAAATGCATACACTCGCTGCTTCTCCAGTCACTAAATAATGTGCCTTGAGGGAGCTGGGCTTGTTCAGCCTGGAGAAGAGAGGGCTGCAGGCTGAACTCATTGCAGCCTTTCAGTACCTAAAGGGAGTCTATAAACAGGAGGGGAGTCAACTCTTTACAAGTGTAGATAACAGCAGGACAAGGGGAATGGTTTTATGTTGAGGGAGGGAAGATTTAGGTTGGATGTCAGGGGATGTTCTTTACAGAGAGAGCGGTGAGGTGCTGGAACAGGCTGCCCAGACAGGCTGTGGATGCTCCTTCCATGCCTGGAGGTGTCCAAGGCCAGGTTGGATGGGGCCCTGGGCAGCCTGGTCTGGTATTAAATGGGGAGGCTGGTGGCCCTGCATGTGGCAGGGGGTTGGAGATTCATGATCCTTGAGGTCCCTTCCAACCCAGGCCATTCTGTGATTCTTTTTAAATTATTGTGCATCATCTTATAGATGCCCTTGGGTATGACTGGAGCTAACAGTGTTACTATTGTTTTACTGCTAGAATCTGTAATAAATTAAATTGTCAGTTCGTAAAAGCTAGTGTTGTTGCTAAGGAAAGACTTTGTGTATGAATAGCTGAGAAGTCAGAATTATGTTAATAAGTACACTTCTTTCTGCCTTTTTATACCCTTACTCTTTCTGATCTGACTGTGATGTTCTATTTCTTTTGCATGTCTTCCACAAATAATGTCTAAGTTAGTAGCTAGAGGGGGAAATTTAGATACAAAACTGCCTTGTACGCTCTTCCCTGTTGCTGAATTTGTGAAGTATGCTTGGCAGTGTATGGCTATGCATTGTGCTGGGTGTACATCAGTCTCTGTTTTCAGATGAAAAGTGAGGCTCAGATTCCTTTTTGAACTGCACTTGTCGTTTCTTATATTGCATAATTGTTGAAGTCAGTGCAGGTTATGTTTACTACACTGATCTTCATATGCTAGCACATTTTCCATTTGCAAATTTGCAAATGATGGGAAGAGTATTTTTCATTGATGTATAGTGATGGGTATTTTTAAGGAGAGGATTGCAACCGATTAAATAGTTGAGACCAACTTAATTTGATTATGGACTGCTGTCTGAACTAGAGTCTCAACTATGCTTAAAATTTGGGTGACTACTGATGGACCAATGTGCTTATTTTTGAGGCTGAGAACAAGAAAAGTCTCAAAAGTCACGATCTGTCCTGAACTTGGAATTAAAAATTGTTTGCCTGTCAGTCTAGTAAGTTGCTAACTTCATTCTCCAGACTTCCCTTATCTAATTTTGTTTTCTATTACAAGTAGAAATGGCTGCGTGCACTTAATATTCAATGGATTGCCAATACTGTATAGTTAGTCAGAAAACCAGGTTCATTTTTGAGTCTGTCTTCTTTTTCTTCTTGTTTTAATCTTCAAGTTCTTTTCCTGAGGAGTGTGTAAGAAACAGTATGTAAACATGACAGTTAGGGAACGATGTCTTTCACTTCAACACTTAGCCAATCACCATCTCACATCTGTAGCTTTTAGCCAATTCTCACAGCTAATGGACTAGTCTGCTCTATTTCCTTGTGAAAAAGAAGTCAACTTGGCAGGACAGCAGTGCCTCCATACCAGTGTTTTCACTGGGATTTGATCATGGGAATCATCCTTTGGCTAAGCAGCAACTGGTATAAAAAGGCCGGTTTGAGATACTCTGCAAGTGATGCTAGTTTTCTGTGCTGCAAGTAAAATAATCCAGCAAAATTCTCAGGCCTTTGTATGTCCCATGTGAATTTCACATTTGTTTAGTGTTACTGTTGGAAAGCTATATATTATGTCTTACCTGACTCTTTCTTTCAGCTTTCAGTCAGAGGACACGAGGAAAAAGGACAGAGAGAAGATAACAGCAGCACCGAATGCAGCGACCGTGGAGTCATGGATCTGAAATTCACTTCAACAAGAAAACACGTTTCCATCAGTGTACCTTCCAAATCTCAGACTATGTCACCCCATATCAAATCAGTAGATGATGTTATAGTTCTTGGCATTAATCTTAGCAAATTTAACAAGCCTGCTCAATTTTTCATCTGTGTTTCTGGAGTTTTTATGTTTTATCTAATCTATGGATATTTACAGGTAAATGCTATGAATTTGTGTCTTATTGTACTTCTCTCTTTTTAAAAGAAATTCTTTAGAGTAGTAATCTGCTACTATTTTAATATGTATAGACATATAAAATAGAAATTCACTGTAAAATCAAGCTCTTAGAATTTAAGAGCAATAAGCAGTTAGAATCTAACATTCTGCAAAAATTCACATGGGGTCGAGGTTTGGCTCAGTTCGTTTTTATCATTTGTTTTTTATTTCTGTGCTCAAGACATACTGTGTAATACATAATTATTCTTAATGTATGTTTTGATATGTGATTTTATAGTCTTCTAAAAACAAATTTTAGAACCATTGAGACTGATGTAGAATGGCTTGGATTGGAAAGGACCTCAAGGATCAACAAGTTCTAAGCTCTGAGCCACAGGCAGGGTTGGCAGCTGCTGGATTAAGTACTAGACCAGGCTGTCCTGGGCCCCAGCCAACCTGGCCTTGTATGCCTCCAGGGCTGGGGCACCCACAACCTCTCTGGGCAGCCTGCTCCAGCACTCACCACTCTCAGGGAAAAGCTTTCCTGACATCAAGTTTCAGCTGTTGTTAACACCTCCGTATCCACTTGAGTCCAGTGACTGCAGTACAGCAACAAGTCTGTTCTCTCTGCTCATCGTTCAGGACAAGGCTGAAGTGTATGTTATGGTTGTTATGTTGGTTTTTTTTTGGGTTTTTTGTTTTTGTTTTTTTTTGTTTTTTGTTTTTTTTTGGAAGCTCAACTGAGTCTTCTCAATAAAGCAATGAGTGAAAAGGTTTCAAATCATGTTCTTGATGTGGCTTTCCAAAACACCTAGAAAGATTGTTTAACTGAAAAAGTTACTATAGAACTTCCAAAGTTAGACAATTATCAATAAATAAGAGCAGAATCTCAATCTCAATGGGGTAAATATTAAGCAGCTTTTTTTTTTTTATAACTCTTGTTCTAGCTGCCTTATCTACCTATAACTGACACACATGCAATTCTTTATGCAGTGCTTGTGTTTTTCCATTGCGAATTGTCCCTGCAGCTCACAAGTTGACAAGCTTACAAGTTCTGTTAATTTGGGCACTCAGAATTTTAGTTCCATAATCCAAAGTAATGAGAATTACTAGTAAACGTGTCTCTTAGTGGAAATATGTATTTAATTTATTTTGAGCTATTTACAAAATCTTGCTAAAAAGAATCTGCTCAAGTAAGTGAACTGGAAAGCAGACTGAAAACCATCTGTAATTTGAGCTAAATCTCCATGGATCAGATGTATTCCCCTGATGAATCGATCCATTAATTTCAGTGGATTTAAACCAGCAGTACATTTTCTTATTGCATTTTGGAGGAACTAAATGGTCTTCTTCAGCACTGTGCAAGTTGTGCATGCCAAGTGAATTCTAGTTAATTCTAGCAAGGGCTGGATTTGCATGTACATGAAGAGAAAAAATAGTATTTTGAACGTTTTGGTGTATGTATGTGACCTTGGTGGGGTTTTGTTTTTATAGGAATTGATATTTTCAGTGGAAGGTTTTAAACCTTTTGGTTGGTACCTCACTTTAGTGCAATTTGGATTTTATTCCGTTTTTGGACTAATAGAATTACAGTTGATTCAGGACAAAAGGAGAAGGTATGTGTTTTTTTTTTTTTTTCCAAACATTTTGCATGCTATCAGTCAAAAAAAGAAACGTTTTGATGCTTATGATAAATTTATCTTCTGTTGCATCATTGTGAATGTGTTGAGGCATTTTTAGTAGATTCATGATAACAATCATCTGAACTTAAAGGGTAGCGTTGGAAGATATTTTGTAAGCATCCCCTTAGAACCAGGCCTTTAAATGGTCTTGTACTGTTGCTTTGTCCCATTTGTGGAGCTTATTCAATCTGAAAGTGAATTGACACAGACTGGCTGTGCTGCTTGGTATTGTCGTGTCTGGAATACCCCAAGTGCACTTCACTGCATTAAACCCCAGAGATTCTTGCAAACTTGAATCTTGAGCGTATGGGATATATTGATATGGGTCTGTTCTGCGGCTCCCTGCCCAAGTGCAGCCTCTGCAGTTTGCACACTGAAGCATTCTGTCATGTATGCAAATGTTAAAAATACATTAGAGCATGATTTCCTAGTTGAGCATAAGCATCGTTGCTTAGACGTAGTCATCGTTGGCTGACTTCTTGTATACTGCTTTTAGGTATCAGTATTATTTTATAGCCAATGTAACTGAGAACGTTTTGAGGTAGGTGGCTTTCAGGCATGCATCAGATAATGTGTAGTTACCTGGTAGACGCTGTGTTAACTAGTATTTATGTTTTCATTGCCAAAATATTTGGTATTGCTTATAGTCCTTGTCTTAGTAAGTAAGTTCAGTTGGAAGTGTAGCTCCTCCATATATTTTTACCTTTTGTTTTATGTAACCCAGGTAACTTCTTGTAGACATTAAAAATCTGTTTCCTAATTTTTAGTCTGTATTCACTCTTAAATTTTATTACAGAAATTGTTTGTTAATGAGTATGCCTGCATCATGTAATGAGTTGTGGATCAGGCAGCGTTACTGCAGGACATCTCCTTATGTTGCTAACCGTGCCTTTGAGTGTGCATAAGCAATAGTAGAACATATGCACAACAGTTAACTCTGAAAAATCACCACGTGAACCCAGTGATTGGTAAAAGCTAGTGCTGGATTATCTGTTATCAGATGATCATTTCATCAAATTGAAAAGAACATACCTGAAGATATTCGAGGAGGAGCTCCTTTTGTAGCATCTGAATTCCCTTTTATTTCTGTTGAGTTTTTCACCGGTACTTTTTCTATGTTCTTCTTTCTTAGGCCATCGGTGTTAATATGAAACCTTAGACAAACTGACACGGTGACAATGAAAAGACTAAGATTCAGGTTATCTAGGTGTGCTGACCTTTTGTGTTTCCTTGACAAAAAACCTAGAGCCTTTGTCTTGTTTCTTGCGTGATATACTTTCTCAGAAGGAGGTTAAAACATTCTTGTTTGGACACTTTGAGCCATGAAGTTTGTGTCTTCCCAGAATGTATTGGCAGTATTTGAAAGCAGAAGTTTGAAACCAGTCTTTTATGTGCATTTTAAAATTTCTGTTACGGAACAAAAAATAAGTGAGAAAAATGATCAAGTTCTATTATGAATGTATTCCTTAACATAAATTTTCTAAGCTAAATCTCCTCTACATGCGACTGCAATACCAACATTCTTATGTTTATATTTTGTAGAATTCCTGGCAAAACCTACATGATAATAGCCTTTTTAACAGTGGGAACAATGGGCTTGTCAAATACCTCTTTAGGATATCTTAATTACCCTACTCAAGTCATCTTCAAGTGCTGTAAACTGATTCCAGTTATGGTAGGCGGGGTTTTTATACAAGGTAAGTATTGGTCTTGCTGTTTTCTTATTTATCTTTTAGGTTGCAGTCGTGTTTGGAATCCTGTACTTTGCTAAATCCTGCTGCCTAGGGAGGAACAGGTACCATTTCTCCTATAGGAGGTAAAATGTAAATTTCTGAAGCATCTTCTCAGAGAAGGTGTTAAAAAAAGTAGTTGTATGGGTTACTTGCAAAATTTCAGTTTTACGAAGGCTTTTAAAATCAGTGTTATTTTCTCTAAACAAAAACACTTCATAAATGAACCATTTTCAGTGCTGGCATGGAAAAAAAAAATTAAACTAGGATTTAATGATTTGTGAAGAAATCTACTCTTTTTGTTTGGAAATCTTAATTTGTAAGTTGTATCATATTTATTGTTCAAAGTAAAAGGATTTAATTGGATGTATCTCTGACTTCTGTATCTTTGGCTAATCCCAAAATCATTGTTTGTATCTGAAGAACAGTAAAAGGGATCTGGAGTAGAGTGGGTAAAGACTATAGTTATGTGAATGAATGTCAGTGTTTCTGGAGTTAGTAGGTTTAAGTACATTATGAAAAGTTAATGTTTCTTTGGTACACAAGGATTCATTGAGTCAGTTAAGTTCTGCATATGAAAATGTTATGGAGCACTGTCAATAGTTATACTTTCTGCTAGTTTTTGATGTTAAAGTTGCAATAGACTGAGCTTGTATAGCACTCCAGGCCAGCAAATATTGTTGGAGAATTTTTATCCAAGTAACAATATACATATTTTTATTTCCCTGCTCTCTTTCTCCGCTTCTGCTTTACATCCTCTCAAACTAGAAGGCAGTAGGGTTTTTAAAGTTCCCAAATCGTCTGTTGGTGTTTGGGAATGACTTTTCTCTAAACAATAAAGGCAGCTGAAATCTCTTGAATAAGAGAAAAATTAAGAAAATATCCAGATTCTCCTGAATACACTCAGGTGGTGATTTGTTAGGGAGGATGTGTCTAAGGAGTAAAAATCAATATCATTAACAAGAATCAGATAATAATCTGTTAAGATCCTTCTCTGCTTTAGGAACTGCTGCTGTAGAAGAAACTGGTTTCAGTTGCTAAAGGCTGGAGCATTAAGTCTTCTGTTGAAGTGAAGGACAACTAAACAGTTTTTCCTTTGCCTTCTAGTCTGCTGACAGAGTAAACACAGAATGCTGACAGTATTAGAGTCTCATTCGTGTTGTTTGTATTGCTTTTGCAGGAAAACGTTACAACGTTGCAGATGTGTCTGCTGCCCTGTGTATGAGTCTGGGATTAATATGGTTTACTTTAGCTGACAGCACAGTTGCACCAAACTTCAATTTGACAGGTAAAGATATATTTTTCTAGTATAATAAAATGCAGACTTTTCCTACTGTAAGGGTTCCATAAAAGTTTTAAGAGTTCTTGGTGTAGTGTCTCATGTATCCTACTGAAAAGACAGGGTATTTTTCTGTCTTTGTGCTGGCAGAAATGTTTCTTTGGCAGTAGAGATATTTACTCCAAGCCTCAGTTTTTTAGGGTCTTAAAGCTTAGGGAAATAACAACTCTTTTTGTTGAAATATATTTCTTGAGAACAAAGATGAGATTTACTTCCCTGTGAATGCCTTATAATAAATAGGATAAAAATTTAGTCTGAGGATTTTAAAATGGCTGAAGTCTGTCTTTTCCAGTTCAACCTTTCAGTCTTGTTACGTTTCAGAACCTTTGTACTGATTGATGATTTCACTCTTAGAGTGTAGGCATTGTGAATTTTTGCATGCTACGTGAAATCAGAAATAACTAAAACATTCTTATGTTTAAAAATTTAATTGAAAATGTATTGCAGATGAGAGGGGAGAATTGGTTATTCCTGATTCCTGATTATTAGAAATGTTCACTGCAGAACTTTTATTTCTCAACAGTGAAAACATTAATTTATAAGTTCTGTTCATAAAAAATATTAATATTTTTATTAATAATATAAATTTGTGTAATAAATATTTTAAATAAAGGCTTTTCATTCTAGTAGAACATTATTTCATCTAGAGTTGTTGATGGTCAAATGGAAAGGTGTTGTTTGAACTATATTTTTGGCCTTGCTTACATGTTAGGTAGTGTGACAATTTTAGTGCTACTGGTAATGGAAGACTTGCTTTTTTAAGTCACTCAGTCATACAACCTGCTGTGCATTCATGTGTTTGTGGTGCAATTCGGTGGCCACTTCGACAAAATATCCTTATTTTGAGTGTAAGAAGGTGATATGCATGTGATTATAGTCCAGTGTTCTGTGAACTACAGAGACATTCTACTTTTACAGCAGTTCTAGACAACTGCTTCTAAACCTTCAGAGAATAAACAGTGTTGTCTATCAGTTTCTTTTATACTTATCAAATGATTCTGTATATATTGAACTTCAGAGCACAATGATTTGCAGGACATCAGTTCTACGAAAATAGAATGTAGACTTTGAATTCAAAACTCTGGGTCTTCCCTTAATAAGGTAATTCAAAATTCTACTGCTCACCTTTGAGGGAGGTACATTCTGCACTTTTCTATTCCTTCTTGTCTGTTGTGTTTTATTTACACTCGTAGAATGCATCGTCTTTGTCCAGTGCAAACACTAAAGTAAAGCATGAGCAAATGTAAGTTTTGCCCATGTCTTACTTTCAAGAATTTTACAAGTTGTTTATTTTCTTGTTTTGTTTTGATTTGTTTTCCTGTTATTGGATTCCAGCTTCAGTATTGCTGGGTCATAAAAGGTTTTCTTTACATGTGAAAGAGTTCAGCAAAGAAAACAAAAACTGTCTTCTGCCAGAACAGGTACATATTTGTAACTAAGGAAGAAATATATTTTTCAACATAGAGATGGTAATAGGAAAAAATTTCCTAGCATTGCTAAATTAGGGAGGTAGATAACCTAAACAGTTACAAATAATAGAGAGCATCCAGAAGAGGAAGTGGAGGGGAAAAATGTGCCCAGGGAGACAATCTTGAAACATTGATGCTATTGAAACTTCCACAGTTCTGTCTGTGGAAATATATTTCCACAGTATATATAAGTGGATATAAGTGGAAATTACCTGTTATTTATAGCAAGGAAACAGTGGAGAAGAACTACTTCTGTGCAAATTTCTCCATTCTAGACTATAATGTCAGATACAGTTTAGTCTTTTGCAGACTGGAAAGCTGATGACAGTATTGATTCTGTAATGACTTTGTTGTGACCAGGTATATACCATTAAACCACAGGGTCTATACCTGAACAGTACTTTTTAAAAACGGGTTATTTCAGCAATGAAGGATTTTCACAGTGAATCCTCTTGCATTTTTCTTATCACTACGTCTAACATTTCCTTTTTTCAGGGGAAATAATAGGGCTAACTTCTAAAAAGAATGTTATTTGATTATTTATTAAAAAAATACCTAAATGAATGCAGTTGATGTACTTTCACTGTTTTTACTACAAGAAAATTAGAGCTTTCTTTTTTATAGCAATAACCAGATGCTCCTATCAAGCCTAGAGGCAGACAGAGCTTAGAGCTTGGCTGTTGGGAGCAGTGGGAGTGGACACTGATTTACAGATTTGTTAAATCTTTTGTTAGTATAATGAAATTTGCTAACATTTGGAGATAACATAGAATCATAGAACAGCTTGGGTTGTGTTGCATTGCCTTCTACGCCTACAACAGGGTTGGAAGGTACCTCAAGGATCATCAAGATTCAAGCCCTTACCACAGGCAGGGCAGGGCCACCAACCTCCAGATCTCATACTAGAGCAGGCTGCCCAGGGCCCCATCCAACCTGGCCCCAGGGACGGGGCATCCACAGCCTTTCTGGGCAGCCTGTTCCAGCACCTCACTACTCTCATACTAAAGAACTTCCCCCTGACATCCAACCTAAATCTTCCCTCTTTCAGCTTATCAGGTATGGATTTGATATGGTATTTTTTTATTACTGTATTACTGGTTTGCTGTTTCTGAGCTTTTTCCGGATAAGTACAGAGTGACTTTTATCACTGCTCTGCTTTGATGATAAATATTCTTAAGAGGTTTTTGTTTTTCTTTTATTAGGTGTGGTCCTAATATCCCTTGCACTCTGTGCAGATGCAGTTATAGGAAACGTACAGGAAAAAGCGATGAAGTTGCACAATGGTTCTAATTCAGAAATGGTAAATATTAGTTTCTCATTTAGTGTTCTGTCACACAAAGTTCAAGATTATTTAAATAATCCAACTGATATTGTTATCTGGGCAGGGTAAAGGCTGAATTAATACAGAATTAACATCCTTTGCAATTTTGAAATGTGTTTTGTCATAGACAACGTATGCAATGACAAAACAAGAGATTATACCTGCTTTTCTCTTTGATATGTGAACAGTTACTTTTTGTGTATGCATCCTTGTTTTTTTTCTGTTTTTTTTGTTGTTGTTGTTGTTGTTGTTTGTGGGGTTGTTTGGTTTGGGGTTTGTTTGTTTTTTTTCTTTTATGGAGTCTTTTTATTCAAGTGCTGTTTTCTGTATCCAATTTCAAATGTATATTGGAGCTACAAAAACCACAGAATCATAGAATGGCTTGGGTTGGAAGGGACACTTAAGATCATGCAGTTCTAACCCCCTGCTTTAGACAGGGACACCTCCCTCTAAACCAGGATGCTCAAAGCCCCATCCTGCCTGGCCTTGAATGCTTCCAGAGAGGGGGCATTTACAGCCTCTATAGGCAATGAGTTCAGTGTCTTACTGCCCTCACTGTAAAGAATTTATTCTTAATATCTAGTCTAAATCTCCCCTCTTCCAGTTTAAAGCCATTTTCCCTCATCCTGTCTCTATATACCCTTATAAAAAGTCCCTCTTCAGCTTCCTTGTAGGCTCCATTCAGGTACTGGAAGGCCACTATAACAGTCCCCCTGTAGACTTCTCCAGGCTGAAGAGCCCCAGCTCTCTCAGCCTGTCTTCATAGTGGAGTTTCTCCAGCCCCCTGATCATCTTTGTGCCCCTCCTTTGGACCTGCTCCAATGTCCTTCTTCTGTTGGGGGCCAAAACTTTGCTTTTCATTCTGTATTAGATGATGTTGGTCTTGGTGTTTTCTTCCACTTATAGAAAATCAGTGTGGTGATTAAGATCATTAAAGACTTTGTTAGTTTGAGCCTAGATACTGCATTCTTGGATTCTTTTCAGAGAATTCAGTGCAGAAATGCAGACAATTTCAGAAATCATCTTTCTAGACTTGAGGTCGTGAGTGAGGATTAAGAGGTCCTTTCAGGGAGCAGGTTTAATGAGCAATGATCCCAAAATACAGTTGGGTAGTGAAGGAATGTGTCATCCATGGGATCTCTTGCAGAAGTTGGAGCTCACTCTTGATTAAGCAGTTATGAAAAGAGAAAAGATGTCTTGTAGATAAAATCATTTCACAGAAGATTGGTTACTACGTGTGCTTTTGCCTTATATTTGATTCTAAGAGAAACTTATTTCCCACTTCCTTATGAGGAACTAGCTACGTGTTGTTGAGTCCTTGTTCTAAGAAATAAGATCATAAATCTGGGAAAAACGCTGGATGGTTGCAAAGGCAAGGAATTAGAGCCTAACTTTTGTGTGTATAAGCACTGTGCAGAATTAGAGTTCTGCATATCAGTCTGTTTTTTAAGAGATTGAAAGTAGTTCTGCTATTGAAACTTATGCTGATCCTCATTTACCGTAGAGCAGTGGTGTTTTATCATCTTGTGGCGTTATCAGTTGTTAATACGCTCATTTTTGCAAATAATTGAGGTACTACAACAAGGAAACAACTGATAAAGCCCTTGCCAGAGGAAGCATGTCTACAATTGATACATTGAAAGTGTGCTAAATCAGTGTTTTCTAGTTGGTAACATGTGAAATAGTTTTGTTTGTTGTCTCCCTTTCTTCAGGGAAAGGGCCACTAAGGCCACTAACAGCAGTTGCTTCCCTCCACACCAGTGCGTACACAGAAGGGCAGCTCCAGCTTCTGAACTAGGCCAGAGCTAATCATAGGTCAAGATTTGGTATCCTATAGCTATAATGGTGTAGGTGAACTGAAGTGACACAGGTGACACTTTGTGACACATGCTGTGGCTGCTCATGGTGATTAAGTGCACATTTAATGTAGAAAGCTTCTTCATGTGTACAATAAATAGCAGAAATCTCTCTGGTGTATTATTCAAGCTAATTATATAGTCTTCAGAAGCTTTATTTGGACTGTGAAATCCTGAACGTGGAGGATTTCAGTCAGCATTGACTTCAGGATATTAACTGTCTAGCTTACAAAACTTTTTCATGTAGTTGTGGGTAGGAAGAATGAATAATAAGCATTAATTATTTTTCTTTACACATAAGCTGTTACAGGAATACTAGTAAAAATATCTTCAACACTACAAATCCATCTCAGAAACTAAAAATATTGAAGTAGAAAATTAAATGCTTTCAAACATATGACCCTATTAATATGATGTCACCTGGTAATTGTTTTCTTTTAAACTCTTGTAGGTTTTGTACTCTTACTCAATAGGTTTTCTGTATATCTTATTTGGATTAACTTGCACTAGTGGATTAAGCCCTGCAGTAGCATTTTGCTCACAGGTAGGTGTACAAATTTCCTTTTTTTTTTTTTTTTTCTGCAAATAACCTCAATAGAAAACATTGCTGTTTAGTTTAGAAAATCTCACCATTTCTCTAATGTTATGCTTTCATCATGTAACCTGGTTGACTTGTGTATTTCATGCATTAAATATGTTGTTACAGTCTTTATTGTACAAGATAATGTGATAATGTTTAAAAAAAAGGAACAATGAAATTACAAGACCAAACTTATAAGCTTATAATTTCATAATTATTCTTCTATTATTTAACTAAAATTAAATAAGGATATTTGCATGAACGCATTCTTGAACAGCTTATTATTGTTCAAGCAGTTGATTAAAGTCTGTAGTTTTGTCATTTTTTAATACCTCAGGGTTTGTTTTACACTTTCCTAACAGGCTTTTGTTGTTGTTGCAGCATCCAATTCAGACTTATGGTTATGCATTCCTTTTCTCCCTGACTGGATATTTTGGCATATCCTTTGTTCTAGCTTTGATTAAAATCTTTGGTGCCCTTCTGGCTGTAACAGGTATGAACAAATGATATCTTTGCTGCTTTTGGGATAAAAACTTGAAGTATTTTGTTATTTAGGACCGCTTCTGAGAATTGTTGTTTCTCTGGCCTTTTTTCTTGTTTGTGCTGATGATGCTGGTTTGTTTAGTATGCATATTTCTGGTGTATATTTGGGAACTTCCTCCTCCTTTTTCTGCTACAGTTTCAACATAGCAGAACATATTAAGTAGCACTGTGCAGGTGGCCTATGCTGTGTTTTAGTACAGAAACAGCACTATTCTAAATGGAGGAATGCAGCCAAGATATAAGGAAAAGATGAGTGTTACTTGAAGCATGGAAGAAAAACATATTCAAGTAAGGCATGGCACACACCTTAAGCATAGAATTTCTGGAGATTTCCAACAAAAAATGTTGTTAGGAAAGGTATGAAGGATTTCACTGAAGATTTTGTGAATATCCACACATTTTTAATGGAATGCTGCTGTAGCAGTGTAAAGTGTACACTAAAAGTCAGTTCAAAATAAACTCAAATGGAACAAATCTTGTGACAGTTTATTCAGTTTTTTATTAAATGGAATGCAATGAAGAGTATTTGTTTTGGAAGTTAAGGTGTAAACTAAACAGACTTCTCCTGGACTGTAATGTTAATGGCAGAAGCAGACTGTCTGGCCTTTTGGTTCTTTTAGGCTTACACAGCAATTGGCCCAAAAAAGGAAGCGGTCGTATTTTCTGTTGAGTCTTAATGCAGCATATATCAATTATGTCAAGAAAAAAAGATGTGAAATACAAATGTAAGGTGTCAGTAATATACTGAAAACATTTTTCCCAGTCACCAGTGTGACTAGCTGCATGTTGTCTGTATAACAAAATGAATCTCTCAAGTATGTTAAACGCTACTGTAGTCCTCTCCAAGTTAAGAAAGCCACTGAATGCCATTGTACCTGTTATTGCAACAGTTCAATTCACAGTGCAATTAAAAAGTTGTGATGTGATGCTCTGACTTCAATGTTTTTCTGTGAGTAAATGCAAGTCAGACCTATCTGTGCTGACAATCCCCAGGTATGTATCCCCATTGCTGAGGAAAAAGTGGACTTGAAAGGAGAGGCAGTCACAACCCTCTCCATAGGTTGTCAGATTTGACTCTTAGCCCATCTATAACTGGGCATAACCTTCATCTTGAGTAATCAGTCATCTGGGAAAGTCACGTAGAGAGTCTGAAATCTTAATAGTTAAAATTGTCAGGCTCAGTATGAGTGAGTAGACAGCTAGTACCAGTCTTAGCACTGGCAAGTAATGTCATCTAGTTGTACGTGGTCTTTATAAATATGTTGGTTGATATGTATGCCTTAGAAACAATGAAAAGCGTTAAGCATACTCCATTTTGAAGGCCAACTGTATTGCTTCCTAGAATGAAGTGAGCTTATTGATAACTTTGTCTACCTAAGATCCTTAAAGGAGGAACGATATGTAGTTAAATCAAAGAAACTGCTGATAAGACGAGTAACAGAAATTGTTTGCATTAGTCTGTTGTGTGTTGCATCTGTCTCTGCCAAGCTTTGACAAATTGTAGCATGAGATGCTTGCTACCTGAGTGTAGCAAAGCTACAGCAAAATGATGTGGTTATTGCAAGTGAATGAGTGTTTTCAACTTGTATCACACAGTGAGTTTGCAAACAGTCAGCTGAAGTGTTTACATACTGGAATATCCTCACTGTCAGGATAAGCAGAAATGACCTCGCTGTTAATTTTAGCAGTAGTTAATTGTCACGTTAACACGTTTTCAATGTATCTCACAACACTGAAGGAAAAGTCTTAAGGAGCTTAATAGTTTTTCAGCATCTCTCTGTGTGTCTGCTTTCAGACTACCTAAAATTATTGCTCTTTACTAAGTGCAGTTTACTTACTGCTGGAATAGTGACTTGTTTGCCTGAACAGCACTGCTGCTTCCGAATTTGAAAAAAATCACCTGTGAATTTTCCAAAAAATAGGCCTTTGCCTATCTAGCTTCTCTTGTTGCATGTGTGGTTGTTACGGCACTCTGTCAAGAATGGTTACATCAGGATCGTTCCTTCCTCAGGTTACCTTTTCTTAAAACTTCAAACATCAGTCACAAGGGACTGGGGTGGGGAGGTGTAGCAAGATGCCATGGAACTACTTTGCTCTCCTCCCTCTCCCCCCAAAAGCTGGTTTCTGTCAGGTAACGCTCTACTTCATTTGCATTAGTGGAGAGGAAGATACAAACAGTTATTTTCTGGCCTGAAAATTGCATGCTCTGATTTTCTATTAATTCTTCTCTGTAGCACTACCATATTTGTTTTCATTGAAGTTTAGTGCATCTAATGGCTGAACGTTGGCCCAATAAGAGGCTTGGTTCATGTGTTAAAGCAGCTCTTAAAGAATTTTAGAAGTAGTATCTACCTGTGGTAAAAATGGCTTAAGAGTGCTGTGGAATAGCAAAACCTTCCCGGATTTCCTTGTGTCTGACTTGACAATCCTAACACTTGAACCCTTTCTGTGTTGGCCTTAGCAATGTGAAAAGGTTTATTGTGCCTTGGAAGAACAGCTGCGTTCGTTACTGTCCCCATGTCAACCCTCCCCCTTATTGGAGAGAGTGGGGGGATGGAGTTTAATGAAAATTGCATTTCTATTAGCAGAATGAGAAATTATCAGACTTAATCGGGGAAAAAGAAGAAAAGGCACTTAATTTAGAAGGAAATGGTTACGTAAATATTTTAATTAATAGCTGGTTTGAAAGAGCAGAAGTAATGATGATTAGAAAAACTGAATTTAACCGTTTTTTAAATTATTCATCTGTAAACTGTTTTCTAATTAAAACTCAATTTTTTTTTTCATTCCCGCTTAATTTTTCACATAACAAAATCTATTTGATGTGCATAAATTTCTTAAAATGTATAGAAATTGCTACCAAGTGGTTGAGGCTGGGGCAGATAAAGTAATGGTGAAGGCTGTTTCTTCCAGTACTAAATATGCTTTTAAGAGAAAAAATTTAGTGGGAGAAGCGTGTGGGGGGTGAAACTTTGTTTAGTGGACAGAAAAAAATAGCATGAGAATACATCTATAATTATTGGTTCTTTTTGTCACGGTGTTATATTAGTAGTAATGTGGCTGTAGTTCTGAGAAGATTTTTGTCTGTTACAGCAAAAAGTACTTTGTGGTCATTGAAATATTTTCTGCTGCTAAAAAAAACTTGGTTTTCTTCTGGTACAGACAATTGTACAAGATTCTTTAATAAACAAAAGCCTGTGCTGTCATGTAACACCTTCTCTGTCCCTTCATAGCTGAATTTGTACACCTGGCTGCACTGTTAACGTTTATCAAGGTTTTCATCATACCTTTACTCATTTACTGTTTGCATGTTTCAGTGATAAATGATGCATGTTTTCAAGTATGCAGTTCACTAGCAACGTTTCATTCTTAACCATAGCATATAGCTTTGGCATTGCAAATGACCATCCAAAGTAATAGTTAGAGAGTAAGACAAACGGTTCACATCTGTTTTGCTAGCAGAATTGTGCTCCCAACTTTTCCTACAACCTTGTCTTTGCTAATGATGAGATCACATGTAGAAGAAGGCCTTTTAAGAGTTTTAGGAAAGCTTACTAATGCAGTCATTGAAGTCAGGCATGCTTGGTCTTTGAGACTCCTAGCCAAAGTTACATTGCTCTGCACTGCTGTATAACTGAAATTGCATTAACATTATTATTATTTAACATTATTTATTAAAAATAAAGCCCAAAGCAACAGTCTAGACTACAGGACTGTGATAAAGTCACATGAGAATGGTGAGAGATTTGGAGTGTCCGAGTCCTGTTGGGCCTGAACCCACTTCTTTCAGCTCTAACAGACCAATGGTTTTAGTTCACGTGATCAGTTACTTGCAGGGATTGTTCATTGCTTTCAGATGTTATGAATTGATTAGAGAGAAGCTGTTAAACACAAAGTCTTGTTCTGGGAGTTTCTGTGCTGCAGATTCTGGGACTAGAGATGAAACCATTTGGATGCGCACTTGTTTTGCGTAACATAGAATCATACAATCCTTGCTAGAGTTGGAAGGGCCCTTTAAAGGTCATCTAGTCTAGCTCCCTTGCAATGAACAGGGGCATCCACAGCTAGATAAGGTTGATCAGAGCCACAGGCATCCACCCCGTCTCTGGGCAGCCTGCTCCGGTGCCTCACTGCCCTTATTGCAGAGTCTTTTTCCTTACATCCAACCTAAATTTACCCTTGCTAAGTTTGAAACCATTTCCCCTTGTCCTGATTCATGATTCTGGAGTTACTTTACACTGGAGAGGTGCATTTACAGTTTGCCTTTGCACCAAGGATGACAGTGAGTGTAGCCAGATCCCTAACGGTCCCTAAGTAGTAAAGGTATCTACTAACATCAAAGACCATCTTATATTCTTATGCTGTCAGTGGATTCTTAAAGAAATAATTTTCTGTTTTCCTTTGCAGTAACAACAGGAAGAAAAGCAATGACAATTGTGCTTTCTTTTTTGTTCTTTGCGAAGCCATTCACATTCCAGTAAGTATTTATAGTTTTAAGTGTATTTTTATATATTTTATTTTAAAAAGGTTGAACGTGGATTTATAACAACAGTAGTTAATCATATTCAGGCTTCAGTGCTTTTTGTTCTGTATCTTCCACAGTGTTGACAGTCTGTTGTAGATTCTGTCTTGATGCTAATCATGCTAGAGAAAATAGTTTCCATTTTCCTAAAGGTCTGGAAGATAAACTGTTCCATGTGTTGGCATTTTTGGTTGTTGGTTTTTAAGAAATACGTCATATCTGGGATTTATGATACTTAATGAATTGTTCAGGTGCTTTCTTCCAGGAGGGTTTGGCTAAAGGCAAGCGTTTCTGAGCACAAGTTTGAATTCTTAGCTAGCTTTTTTTTAACAAGTGGAAGCCCCTCCTGTCTGGAGAGAAAATTAAAGTTAAAATGAAAGTTTATGGGGCTTTGAGTTCTTCCCTGATTTAGATCTCAATGAAGAGGTTTTTTATCCTTGAAAAAAATGCAGCAGAGATATTGCAGTGATTTAAATTCTAATTTGAAACAATTTAATTTTATTGCTATGTGTAAAAATAAAACTTAAGAACAAAGCCCAGAGCTAAATGCCCAAATGCAGTTTATTCCAGGTAAAAATGTTGAGGCTTAAAATAACAGGGCTTAAACAAGAAGTGTGCATTAGGAAGTATAGGCATAAGACACTGAATGAGTGCGTGTTTTAAACCAGTGATATAGAGAATGGGTCTCCTAAATATGGACAAGGAAAACATATTAAAACCTCTCTGGTCTACTTTATTCATATAAGAAAGAACAGTTAATCTTGTTTATTTTTTAACTATGAAGCCACAGTAATAAACTGTTCATTCAGTACAAGGAAAGGAAGGATTGCTTCACAGTAGTAATGGAGATTCAAGGAAATTCTTTCTCCGAGTCCATCAACTTGTTTGTTGTTATATTTTTGTAGTGGTTTTTGTTTCTTCTTCTCTCATTAATTTGGGATTTTTATTTTTATCTGTATATTATAAATACTGTTCAGTATAAAGTGCTAATGGTAACTTCTTTTCCCCCCTTTCTCTCCCCTTCAGATACGTGTGGTCAGGCTTACTGGTCGTCCTTGGAATATTTCTTAATGTTTACAGTAAGAATATGGATAAAATCAAACTGCCTTCACTACATGGTATTTGGAAAAAAAATGTGGAAGAAAGAAAAACAAGGACGTTGTCACAAACTGTATAGAGAGTGGTTTATGCCATGTCTAGACTCTGACTTCCTGTTTTATTGGAACAATCTTCAACTGATTCACTTTCCAAAGGGAACATTATTAAAACCAAAGGAGCTGAAGGCATAGTATCTGCTTGCAGATAGCTGGAAATGCACATTTTTGTGAGCCCTTTCTCCAGAGCACTTGAATTCATCATGAGAGGCATTACAGGCCATTGTCAGTTGGCATTACCAGGCAATGAAGGACAGCAGCTCCTGGCAAACTGCTGAGAAGCTGCACTCCCAGTGTGACACAGTAGAAGACTTACTTGGGCATTGTAATGATATTGGCCCTGTGTCTGATTCCAGATTAGTGTTTCTTAGTCTTCGTTAATTGTCTGGCTGAGGTAATTTAAATGTAATACTGTATTCATGTTTAATGGAACCTAATCAGCAACTGCTCGACCAAATTGCGGTTTTGAAGGTGCAAGGTTTAGAATATGGTATGTTGTCACTCTGTCACGTTAAATAAAAACGTTGTTTTTTTGTTTTTTTTTTAATAAGTTACTGATCAGGTCAGCACAAAACTTATTTATTGTCATAATTTTCATTTTAATGGAAATTTTAAGGCATCATTTCACTTGGTGGTCATTGCTTGCAAGTAATGAAAATAAGACTGTTTGAGCAGTCATCACCTGTGCTTTTACAGCAGTGGAAGTGGACTCTGGACATCAGCTAGCTGAGAAGAGAGAATGACAGTGTAATGATTGAAACAGCAGTGTAAGAATTTGTCATTTGCTTATTCTGTGGTGAAGCAACAAACTTTTCGTGGCCTATGGCACTCTTTGTCAAAGTGGTGTGAAGAGATAGGAAAGAAGGTTCCCTGAACCAGTATCATCAAATCAAAACTCTCTATTTTCAGTATTGGCCTAAAGAATAACAGCATCTGATACTGTATTTAAGGTATGTATTGTCAGTCTCTGTGTGGTAATGAATTTAAGAAGGTTAGGGTGCAGACTGCAATTATCTTTGTTTTATGATAGGAGGAGACAGTTTACTTCCAGTCTTTCATTGTGAATTTGGGAAGATTGAGTCCATTTCTCTCTCCAGCTTTTGTTTTCAATTCATTTTGAATCACTTGCCTTCTCTTTCATTTTATGTGTATAACACTGGCACTTTAAAAATACAGATCACTTTACAGTTGATTGTTCTCACACACTGATGGTAGTTCTTGTTGTCGCATCCCTCACGTGCTGTAAGCTTGTTTTGTGTTGTTTCATAAGAAATTGATGGCTTATTCCACTTAGACAACTGTAATTTTGATAATAGAACTGTGAGACCAGAAAGAATGTACAAAGAACTGAAAAACTACGCAGGATGTTTTGCCTTCTGCCAAAAAATGTTTGTGAAAGTACAGAAAATGTGCATGCAAAATGTTTGCCACACATTTGGGAAGAATTGCTGTTCCAAGGAGCTTGTAATCAAAGCGTGGATCTAAAAATGTGCCTTAAATTTTGCTTACTGACTTGGTAGCCAGCATATGTCATGTTAGGTGTGATATAAAATAGAGCATGGACTTACACAGCCATGTTAGCATGATGGGACAAATAGGTGGAGTGCAGAGCAGCAGTAACAGATGTGTACTGTTTCAAATGCTCAGGCTGCTGTATGTCAGCAAAGCTCTTCAGCCCATACACGCACATTGTCAGCAAGTCATGAGCTTTCATTGTAACAATGTTTTTTTTTAATTCCTGGCTGCTGCATTATTTATTGTGTCCTGGGTTAGGTGGGGAGGTGTGAATTTGACATATATGCACCCTGATATAAAAAGAGGAAGGACCTGCCATAGTTATCAGCAGTGTCCATACTGCAGTCGAAGTTGTGTGTAAGACATGAAAAAGGGTTACAATTTCAAGTTTGGTGGAAGAGTGGATTTTGGACCAAGTCTTTTCCCCCAGGCTCCTTTATTCCCACGCACTCTTTTCCCTAAATCAAGTTGCTCTTTGCTGTGGGGTTATTTGTCAGGCTTAAAAAAGAGATGGCTTTTGAACCAGTGAAAAGGAAGCAATGACAGAACATTGGCAACCCAGATCATCTTCATGGAACTTTGCAGTTAGCATTTGAGCATCAGTTTGGACAGTATTTCAGTCTCAGTTTTGCCATCAGTAAACTGTCTGTTACTAAACGTTACTGAACTTCCAGGAACCAAATTATGTGAAAGCTACCATACATATATAAAGTCAAAAGAAACATAATTAATTTGCTATCTGTTTTCTATAAATACTTGAGAAATCACTCCCAAAGTTTCTCATAGGAATTAGGATACCCTATGTAGCTTGCAGAACTTCTGTCAAACTGACCTGCTGAGTTCCATTGCTAAACCGAGTCCCATTGTGCCACTTCCACACAGCTGATAATGCAGTTTTGTCTTTGTTTTATCTGCAGTGCATCAAGTTCACAATTGGCCTTTTAACATTGGCCTTGTAATTTATTCTGTTGTGTATGAGACTGACTGGAACCCACATCACAGGAAGTTTGGGTGGTATGTTTTTTAACTATAGAAAAGGGTTTTTTAAATTCTTTTACAGGTGCTTGGTACTTTGAAATCTGACTGTGTAGACAAATGCTAGATTTAGTGTTCACAGCATATATTTAGGAGTCAGGTTTTTGTTATCGTGGGTGTGAATTCAGCAATTGTTACTGAGCAATTGTTGGAGGGAAGGTTTAGGTTGGATGTCAGGGGGAAGTTCTTTGCTAAGAGAGTGATGAGGTGCTGGAACAGCTGCCCAGAGAGGTTGTGGATGCCCCGTCCCTGGAGGTGTCCAAGGCCAGGTTGGATGGGGCCCTGGGCAGCCTGGGCTGGTACTGAATGGGGAGGTTGGTGGCCCTGCATGTGGCAGGGGGTTGGAGATTCATTCATTCCTTGAGGTCCCTTCCAACCCTGGCCATTCTGTGATTCTGTAACAATATGTAAGAAAG